ATGATATTCTGGAAGGTTTAACCTGTGGTGTCCCCAAATGGGCCCTCAAGGGCACCTGCATCCATAGAGGAGACTGGAGGCTGGATGAGAGAACGAGGGGACAGAACTCGGAGCAGTTCTGTGAAGTTGAATAATTTTAAAGGAACATTCGCAGAAAAAGTCCTAATGTTCTTAAGCAACTTTATTTTCTGTTTTCTTTCAAATTTGTCATATATTTTATGAGGTAAAGAGCTAAATAATTTGGACATTATATGACTGTAACCATAATGTTCTTTAGTTTGAGCACAAGTAATGCTATATGAAAAAATGTTTTTTGTTTTTGTATTTTTCATTCAGCTGCTGAAATACGGAAATATCTTAACTCTACTACCCTCGTCCCGCACCAAACCTTCTGAGACACACTGCAGGCAAATGGGAGGGCAGAGGGGGACTGAGGGAGCCACCAACTGTGAGTGAGCAACTTCCAACACCAAAAATTCTCCTAAGATAAGAACCTAGCCTTTTTAATGACAGTTACTGTCTCTAGACAAATATATGGACATTAAAGATAAAGTTAAGTAACTCCACATGTATATTATTAATACTGGTGTAGGAATATCTCCTCAATATCCTATAGGTCTAATATTTGCTTCAGGCATTTATTTAAAATATGCTAGTATATACCTATTATGCAGAATACTTTCCAATATTTTAGACTGTTTCTACCTTTTTTCACTCCATCAACTAAAGATCCATAGTTCATTTTAATGTCTAAAATTATAGCAGTGACAATAAACAATTGGCAACCACCTCTCATCTGTATTTTTGACTATATTCCACTAATGACAGCTGAGTACTTATTTCTATTTTACAGAGGAGGAGCTGGATGACTTGAAACTAGGTTTGCAGATTGCTACCCTCACAATCCTGAATGTTGCTGGCATTATTTCTCCCCCTGTCCTGTCCAGGGCATTCTAGAATGGGGGTTCTGGCATTTACCAAGAGCCACAGCAGCATATTTTGCTTCAGAGGTTCAGGCTTCTGAAGAACATTCAAATAAACACTAGGGCAATTGAGATTCAGAGTTTAGGAAATACAGTTTCTTAAGAATAGGTAAAGCACTGGCCTGCTGGCTCAGGTTTTGGACCATCATCCTGTACACCAGAAGGTTGCCAGTTCCGTCCCTGGTTGGGGCACAGAGGGGGGTAACCAACTGATGTCTCTCTCTCTCCAAAATCAATAAACATATACTTGGGCAAAGATTAAAAAAACAGGTGCGGCATAAAGTGAAATTCCTAACTCCTATATGTTTATAATTATGTGCTACATTGCTAATGAACCCATGTTTTCATGGATGATTACTATGTGTATCTTACATAATGCCCTCACTATTTCCTGTAGTTAGTATTATTTGCTGTATGTGAAATTTAGGTGCCTAAATATCACAAAAACCAATAAATACATTTAATTATGTATAAAATAATCACATAACTAACAGCTACAAGCCATTTAGAAATACTTGTAATTTTTCTCTTTTTCTGAAAATCTTTTTCCAAAACCTCAGAAAATCTGTATAACTTTCTGGCAACATCCACCAATTGTTACTGAGAGATGCCAGAAGTAGTTAGTGACTTCCTAACCCTGCTTCAGCTTCTTTTTGGATGACTAGCATGGTAAGAATGTTTGATGGGTTTGCAGGAATTAATAATGTTTGTATGAATAAGAAATTACTAAAATTCCAGGATGTACTGTGATATTCAGTATTTTACGAGACCCTAAATATTAAACTTATTAGGGTCAACAGGAAAGGCAAAGCTCCAAGCATCTCTTTTTATTTTTAGCATTTTGTTTAGCTATTGACCAATAACTGCCTTTTGAAAGTTAGAATTGATTGCTACAGCAAATTATTTTTCATAAGCAGGTAGTTACAAAAAATATATCAGATAAACTCTTTCAACAAATTTGCAAAAGAGCCTACAATACCTAAATGTGGGTTAGTTTAGTTTTAAAAAGCAATTTATATATGCTCTCACCTTTGACAGGAAGCTAAAGAATAAAACAAACAAGCAAACAGAATAAAAACAAAGACACTGAAATAGAGAACAAGTGGGCAGAGACCAGAGGGGAGAGGGAAAGGAACTTAAGGGGAAAAAGGGGGAGGGATTTTGAGGAACAAGTATGAAAGACACAGAGATGAGGACTAAAGGGGGGGGTGGGATGGGAGGGAGGGGGAGACCAGGCGGGGGTGGGGTGGGATGGGAGAAATAGATTAAAAAAAAAAAAATGTACTTGAAAAGTAACTAAATAAAATTTAATATTAAAAAATAAATAAAAAAATAAAAATAAAAAACAAAAACAAAAACTAAGCAAACAATTAAAACAGGAACAGAACCAGGGATATGGAGATCACATAAAGGATTATCAGTGGGGAGAGGGAGGGAAAAAAGGGGGTGGGGAAAGTTACAGGGAATAAGAAGCATAATTGGTAGGCATAATATAGACAGAAGGAGGTTAAGAATAGTATAGGAAACAGAGAAGACAAGAACTTTTATGTACAACCCATGGACATGAACTAAGGGGAGGGGAATGCTGGAGGATGCCGGGTTGCAGGGTAGAGGGGAGATAAAAAGGAGAAAAAAATGGGAAAATTATATTAGCATAATCAATTTAAAAAAAAGCAATTTAAATAGAATACTAAATAGGAAATTACTGGAACCAGTTCAGTGTTCAAGGTTTTTTTTTTTTTTTAAATAGATTTAATTATACCATTACAGTTGTTCTATTTCCCCCCTTCATTCCCCTCCATCCTGCACACCCCCTCCCCCACCATTCCCCCCTTTAGTTTGTGACCACATCTCAAGTTCTTTAGATTCTATATTTCCCATACTATTCTTGCCCTTCCCCCTATTTTCTACCTACCGTCTATGCTACTTATTCTCTGTACCTTCTCCCCCCTTCTCCTCCTCCCACTCCCCTGTTGCTAACCCTCCATGTGATCTTCATTTCTATGGTTGTGCTCCTGATCTAGCTGTCCTCTTAGTTTGCTTTTGTTTTAGGTGTGGTTCTTAATAACTGAGTTTGCTGTCCTTTCACTGTTCATCTTTTTTATCTTCTTTTTCTTAGATAAGTCCCTTTAACACTTCATATAATAAGGGCTTGGTGATGATGAACTTCTTGAATTTGATCTTATCTGATAAACACTTTATCTGTCTTTCCATTCTAAATGAAAGTTTTGCTGGATAGAGCAATCTTGGTTGTAGGTCTTTGGATTTCATGACTTGGAATACTTCTTTCCAGCCCCTTCTTGCCTGTAAGGTCTCTTTTGAGACATGAGCTGACAGTCTGATGGGGACTCCTTTGTAGGTGACTGTCCCCTTAGCTCTTGCTGCTTCTAGGATTCTCTCCTTCATTTTAATCTTGGCTAATGTAATTATGATGTGCCTTGGTATGATGCTTCTTGGGTCCAACTTCTTTGGGACTCTCTGAGCTTCCTGGATTTCCTGGAAGTCTATTTCCTTTGCCAGATTGGGGAAATTCTCCTTTATTATTTGTTTAAATAAGTTTTCCACTGGTGGCTGTTCCTTTCCCCCTTCTGGTAGCCCTATAATTGAGATGTTGGAGCATTTAAAGATGTCCTGGAGGTTCCTAAGTCTCTTCTCATTTTTTTGAATTCTTGTTTCTTCATATTTTCCTGTTTGGTCATTTTTTTCTTCCTTCTGGTCCACTCCCTTGATTTGAGTCCCAGTTTCCTTTCCATCACTATTGCTTTCCTGTACATTTCCGTTCATTTCAATTAGTTTAGCCTTCATATGTTTCTCTAATTTGTGACTAAAATCAACCAGTTCTGTGAGCATCCTGATCACCAGTGTTTTGAACTGTGCATCTGAAAGTTTTGCTATTTCTTCGTTGCTTAGATTTATGGGCTCTGGGGCTTCGAGATCTTGAGCCATTTTTGGTCTGTTCGTGCCCATTAATTATTAGGAGAGGAACCTTAAGTGTTCACCAGGGCGGGGCTGCCCGGGTCACTGGGTTGTGACACTGTATGTGGGGGCAGGGTCAGAGCGGGGAAAGGGTGGCCCCCTCTGCTGCCTCTTGCTGCTGGGGCCTGCTAGGTCCTGTCTCACCACCTACTCCCTCGCTGGTCTATCTGCGCATGAATGTGGGACCACAGTCAACTCGCCGCCCTGCACCCTCTCTGGGTACACCGGTCGCTCACTGGGTCCGCCTGTTGCAACCCCACGCCTGGGATCCGAGTGCCTGAGTCTGTCTGACCGAGTTTTCCTGTGCAACCCCGCTCCGCCAGCTGCTGGCTTCGTCCCTCTTACCGGTCAGGCTGAGGAATTTGTTGTTATCAGACTTCTGAAAAGTTCAATTTTCTGTGTTTTGGCTGTGTTTTCTGTTGCTAAAATTTTGTTGTCTCTCAACTTGATTGTGGGAGAAAGCACGGCGTCTCCACCTATGCATCCATCTTGGCGGACCAGTGTTCAAGTTTTGATGTTCCCTTGTATTCTTTAAAAAAGTTTTGCTCTTTCTGAGAAATACAGTCATTATAGAAAAATATATAGTCATTCAAGAGTTATTATAGAATAATGTAAATTAAAAAATGCAGAAAAGAAAAATTACCAGTAATTGTTCCACCTAGATATAATCTCTATTTATATTTTGGAGGCTATCTTTTTAGCTTTGTTTTTCCCTAGCAACTGTAATTATTTTTTCTTTTAGTCCCTGTGCTAGACTCCTCAGCTAAAGCTGTGTCCAAGAAACCTTAAAGAACAAATCTAATAATTGGGATACAGAGGAACATCCCTTCCCTTCACTCTTCTTTCTTGGTATTTTGAAGCTACTTCTAGTCTTTTTTTCTTTAATGTCATATCTGGACTTGGTAGACAGAGTCAGCGTCTAAAGAAAGACTATTTATATTTGTAGCAGAATAAAAGAAACCAGAGGAAAGTCATGTATTTTCAGATAAATATTTTAATTAAATTATACACAAATCAAAGTTGTATATATACATATGCACCATTTATAAATATGTAAACATGTACAAAGGCTAAAAAAAATACAAAGAAAAAATATGTGTTAAGAGTACTGGAATTATATGCCTTTTTCATGATTTTTTAATATACTCACAAAACATTACACTTAGATAGGACTCTTTTAGTGCTAGAGAATCTTATATAAGTGTATTTGTTCAAGAGCTTCCCTGTCAATGTCCTTTTCTGGGTACACATCATAGTTCAGTGGCACCTCTTCAACCCAGAAAGGTAGCTGTATATTAACCTGAAAAGAAAGATGATAAACAAAGATGAAAATGCAGCGTGATCCTATTTTCTCGAAGAAATCCTGACTATGTAACTGAACACAATAGACTTTTAATACAATGAGCAGGACCAAGTTCTACATGGTGCCACATGAACAATTCTTTGTTGTACTAAACAGTCTGTGGATTCTCGGACTAAATTAATTTACTCTGATTTGGGAATTTTAAAGAATAAAGAAAATATGAAACAGAATAATTGTTTTAATATAAATAGCCTAAAATTATCATTAGGCTTAAACAAAAAAAGACTAAAGCAACAATGGGAATGCAGAGAGATGACAGAAAAACTGCTTGTGTGTACAGAGATGGTGCTACGCGGGTGCGCGCAGGGCTAATCTCCCTCCGTGACCTTTGTGGGGCCCTGCCCTTCACAGTGCACACCTGTGTCTCTGGGACACAGAAATTCTGGGGCCACCAATGGATATACTATATATCTGTCTAAAGAAGTTTCATTAAATAGGAAAGCAATAAAGTTATTCCAGAATTTATGTATAAGGACTCTTTCATAAATATTATTTCCCTATGGTTATCTAGACAGATTTATGTATTTAGTGTGAAAGTAGTTATTTTGGTAAAATAATTGATTTATTTCAAGATATTATATATAGAAATTCTAGGTTGGAGACTACATATTTTAAAAAATATATTCTCAGGAGTATAGAAAAGTACGGCAGGATCACACGCTTACAGAGTGGGGATCTCAGGGGAAAAAATTAAGTGGCGGGGAACTGGGGAGATTAACATCTTTTGTTTATATATTGTGTCTATGAATTATTTCCTGTATTATGGAAAACATGAATTACTTTTGTAATTTAGATGAGTGACACAAATTTTTTAAAAGGTATTATTAATGATTTTTTAGTTTTTTTAAAGGAAAAAGATATATGCTTAAATTTGGTAGTGCTTATATATAAGGAAAGCACTACTGAAGAAAATAATAAGTCTGTATTAAGAAACACAACAGTGCCTTTTACCTGGATCTCAAAGAGGTTTACCAGTACTAACTAACCTTTATATAAGGATCAACTTATGGAGTAGAATCTTATTACTAAATATCAGCTTCATTTTATATGAGGATCTGAGGAAAAGTGGTTTGTGTGAGATTCCAAAGTGACCTAGAAGCCTCCAGGTTACTTATTTGATTATAGAACATTCATTGCATTACTCTGTTCCTTTTCTTCTAAGGGAAGAAGTTATGATGCGGGTGTACAAAGCCTCTTACAAACATTTAATAGCATTTGTTATCCTAAAACTGTAACTCCATAGTTGGAACAATGGAATAGAGAAGCAAAGGAGTATGAATCAAGAAGAATTACAATGTGAGAGCTCTTGAGGCCAGTTAAACCGCAAACCAGTTCTTAACCCAGAGAAGTTCTGGCTGTTGTTCCTATCATCTGTCATTATATTCAGACAACATTTCTAGAATATTGTAACAGCTATCAGAAAAACACAGAAGAAAAGTTTTGACAATAAAAATGTTAGAAAGGCTTTCATACCTGAAGACTTGAGAGAGACTCTTCAAGACTTGGTACTGTCACTAATAATGATCCTTGTTTCCTTACATTATGGCTGATGAACTCCCAGGCTCTACAACACATTAAAAACTACATGTTAGGTTTTACCAGACACCAGAAACTTTAAAAAAAAAAAAAAGCAAATGACAACCCTGGCTGGGTAGCTCTGCTGTTTAGAGTGTTGTTCCAGTACACCAAGGCTGTTGGTCCAAGCCTTGGTCAGGGCACACACAAGAATCAACCAATAACTGCATAAATAAGTGAAACAAAAAAATCAATGTTTCTCTCTCCCTTCTTCTCTCTAAAATCCATAAATTAAAAAAATTTTAAAACGAGGATGACAAAAGAAAATGCTGTACAGGTGGTATCTCAAAATCCAGATGGGCAAAACATGTTTGCCTGAAGAAAACAGGACCACAACATACTAGAAATTGGTAAATTTGTTAGTTCCTGAAGGAGTGGTGACAAAATTATGAAGTTACAGCATTGACAAGATTTAACAGGGTTGTGATTCAGTTTACTACAAGGCAATGTAAACCAAAACTCAGTTTCAAAACCAATTCAGAAGTCAAAGCTGCATCAGCAGTGAGAGGCCCTGACATTCCTCAGTGTGTCAAAAATGGTTCTGCAGAATCGAACTGGGCTGTGGGGTAGAGGCGGAGGAGAGTCATGGAGAAAGGCCATAGACACCAGACAGCAAGCAAAAACTAACAATAAGGGTGTATAATACGTAGATTAGATCTTTTAAAATAACATTAAAAGTGAAGTCATACTTTGACAGTCATAAATATTCAGTGGAAAGCCTGGACAACACGACCCCTGAGAAGTTTAGTGGGATCAGCCAGGTTAAAGCACCACTGAATGCCATGTGCACGTGTACATGTCAGGGCGCAGTGCTGACCGGTTCTGATGGACCTTCAGTGCAGACACAAACCGGATTCCACAGTCTTGACAGCACAGCCCACTACTGGGGAGCAATGATCAAGCAAAGCAGGGATATGCATCCCTTGCAGTGGGGCAGATGGGCAGCTGTGTCATTTCCAATTATTTTAGTTATAGCAATGGTTAAGTTTAACACATTCTAAAGTTCATTGGGCAAAATGATACAAATGTTCCCCCCCACTCAGGCTAAATCTAAAATCATGTATCAGTGTTTGTTAATAAATATCACTGTGTTTGGGCAAGAGCTGTTCTTTTTTTTTTTCCTTTTGATGTGGCTCCTTAAAAATGATATATTTTACAAGTTTATTTAATAAGGATGAAGAAGCTGAGTATACTCTGTATGGCTCTCAAAATAGCACTCGCTGTTTCTAGTAAGCTGTCTTGGTACATACAGGCACCTTTTAAACTCATGACTCTATAATCTGGCTGTTACCCTGAAATGAGATATAACTTATTCTGAAAGCTGAGCCTTTCCTGGGGACAAATGATCTATTATTATATTTCTTTTAAAAAGATTTTATTTATTTTTTAGAGAAAGGGGAAGAAGGGACAAAGAGGAGAGAAACATCAGTACATGAGAGATACATCAAAAGGTTACCTCTCATGCCCCCAGCTGTGGACCTGGCCCATAACCCAGGTCCTGAATGGGAATCCAACTGGCTGCCCTCTGGTTTGCAGGGTAGGGCTCCATCCGCTGAGCCACACTAGACAAGGCTATGATGTATTTCTGTTTTCTCCTATGTACTAACTCCCATAGCAGTACCAGTCCACTTGCTCTTAGATTCTGATTAAGATGACAGATCTGTGGAGGCTATATACTGGCCAACGATTTTGTCTTTTACTACAATATAAAATTAATAAGGGTAAATGATCAGTTTTGTCAAAATAATTCTAGGATCAGAATATTTTACCGTATCTTCTAATCTTTCTCCTGTCAACTAGCATTCGAGATGGAGATAAGATAATTACCCAGGAGGGGCAATAACCTATCTATATTTAGAATTCATTGTACTAGACTAATTTAGGAAAAATGGCTGAACTAACACAGGTGGCTAATACCTACTCAGGGAACCCTGTAGGGTTTGTGAACGAATGCACCAAGAAAGTTTTTAACACAGTCCTAACATGCAGTATTTCCAGTATCGAGTCTAGTAGTAGCTTTCATCATTCTTCAGCATTCAAATTCTTTCTATAATAAATCTCCAAAGAGTTTACAGTGTTTTAAAACTTCTCATACAACATAAACTTGGTAATATGTCAAGTCCAATAATTATGAAATGTCTTGGCTACTGGTCATTAATTTAAAAAGGTAAAAAGCTAATCATACTTTGTTTACTGGAAATTAAACTTAAAAGAGAGCACTCGGATTAAAACAACTTTGCTCATGTTGTGTTTCTGGTCTTTAGCCTGTGACTAAAAATTGTTATTTATTGTGGCTGAGCTTCAATTATATGATTAGCTTTCTGCTGAGGTAGTTTCTTTTGAAACTATTGACATAGTTTTGTAGTGACCTTAACCTACTAGTCATGGGTGTGAGTGTGCATGTGGGAGTGAGAAAGGGGTGGCTGGGGGAAGAATATAAAAGGCGAGGGGGTGGCAGAATAAAGAGGGTCAGCCATTCAGGATTCTACTCACAGTTAAGTGTTTATGGTCTGTATCATATGCATTTTTATTTCTCTGAGGTAGATCTCTTACGGACACACTAATCCAACCACTTGTGTATTTCCTTTCATACCCATGGAAAGGAGATTCCCTGCATCTAGACTATACATATGCCCTTATGATAAATAAGAACTCAGCAAGCCTAACTAGACAGAAAATCAGCATTTCAGACTAGAAGAATTTTCTAATCAAAGGAACCTATAGGTCCTTATGGGTCACAAAGCATTAAATTGTGGCAGAGAAGTCAAGAAAAGTGATCACAGATTTGCTAATTTTTCCACTACTTGAATAGTGGAATAAACTCAAGGAACCTACTATTACCCCTCATGAACATTTTTCAAGTTTGATGATTAATCACAATTTTGGTTAATATTCTTATATCTTGTTTTATATCCACTTATAGGCATTAGTTAATTCCCTTCATTTTGTGATAGGATAGTAGATACATATTTTTTTCAAAGAAAAGAAAACTGGAGCAGAAAAGAATCAGTATAAAGGCCTATTAGGTACTGATACCTTATTTCATCCCTGACTAGAGGCAGATGCATGGGTCATGATATCATTTTATGTCTGTCTAAAATCAGATATAGTATTTTACAAAGTTAGACAGTTTATTTTTTAAATTTAATTTTATTTTTAATCCTTACCAGAGGACACTCTTTCATTGCTTTCAGAGAGAGGAAGGAAGAGAGAGAAACATCGATGGAGAGAGAAGCATTGACTGGTTGCCTCCGACACACCCAGACCAGGGATCATATGTGTCCATACTGGGGTAGGAGAATAAACTTGCTACCCGGGCATGTGCCCTGACTGGGAATCAAACCCAAAGCCCTTCTGCTATGGGCTGACACTCCAACCAACTGAGCAAGATCAGTGAGGGTTATAGTTTACTTTTATTTCTGTTTTACACAGAACACCTTTCCTTTTAAATATAACCTCCTCACAGCTGAGGTCATTTTTTAAAAGTTTGATATGGAAACATTTCTATTTTACCAATCCCTTTTCATACTTTGCTGGATAAGAGCAGACTTCTTGCTTGAATAAAGAGCATACCTGGCCTGTTCTGCCTCATCAAGAAAATATTCGAAGACATTATTCATTATAACAACATCAGCATTTTGTAGAAGGGAATCCTGGGTACAGATGTCTGCATGAAGTACCTAAAGAACAATGAGTTCATTTAAGACAACAAAGATACTCTATTATACAATCACAGGAAAAATATCTATTGGTTCAATAATGCTGTGAGATCATATGTAAAGTTAACCCTTCTTAAAATGGGAGAAAGTACAGTGTATTTAATGTGACTGCCTATGGGAGATAACATCTAATAAAACCCATAAACTTGTGAAAATGCGTATTTCTTTTAGACGGAACTTTTTAATATAGTCATAAGTATAATCTTTTGACTCCTAGTTCAGAGCTTTTCCCACACAGCAGTTCCCCCTTACTCATGGTTTTGCTTTCTGTGGTTTCAGTTACCTGTAGTCCAACCATGGTCTGAAAATATGAAATAGAAAATCCAAGAAATAATTCATATGACGTTTCAAACTGCAAACTGTTGTCACGAGCATGTCTAAATGTCACGCTGTCCCACTCCATCCTGCCCAGAGGAGATCGCCCTTTGCCCAGCCCATCCACACCATGTATGCTCTCAGCCGTGACTCACTTTGTAGCTACCCTGGCCATCACAGCAAATGCGGTATTGCAGCGCTTGTGCTCAGGTCACCATGATTTTACTTAATAACGGCCCCAAAGTGCAAGAGTAGTGATGCTGGCAATTCAGATGTGCCAAAGAGAAGCCCTAAAGTAATTCTTTTAAATGAAGAGGTGAAAGTTCTAGATGTAATAAGGAAAAAAAAATCAAATGCTGAAGTTGCTAAGATCTATGGTAAGAATAAATCTACATGTGAAGAAGAAAAAAGAAATTCATGCTAGTTTTGTGTCCCATCTCAAACTGCAAGTTATCACTACAATACACACTGAATGCTTAGTTACTGTGGAAAAGTCAATACATTTGTGGGTGGTAGATATGAACAGAAAACTTGTTCCCATTGACATCAATGTGTTTCTCCAGAAAGCAATGAGCCTCCAGTACATGGTCCCCTGAAATGAGTGACATCAAGCCATTGGCTACAAATAAGGAATGGTTTGGACTGAAAAACATAAAAATTACTAGAGAGAGAGACCCACATTCACACAACTTTTACTACAGTATAATTGTTCTATTTTATTATTAATTATTGTGAAGCCTAATTTATAAGTTACACCTTATCATAGGTACACATGTATAGGAAAAATCATAGTATATATATATAGGGTTTGGTACTCTCCACAATTTTAGGCATCCACTGGGAGTCTTGGAACATACCCCTCAGGTAAGGGTAGACTCCACCAATCGTTGTAAAAGTCATCAAGTTCTTGCTCCATCATTAACAAGGTTTGTTCACTTAGGTAGTCAGGGTCCTCATAAATAAGACAGAATTCATAGTATCTGTCCTGATTCATTGATCAAATGGGGCCATAAAAGCTATAAAAATAATTTATAAATTATAAAATTTTAATACAGTATGTTAATGGGCCTTGCCCGACTCTTCATCTAAAATTTGCTGGACTATATTATCTGTCCAAAAAACAAACAAAACAATTTATTTAAAAATTATATACCTCAAAAAATTAAGTTAGACCACAATCATCAAGTCTGAAAGATTACAGGCAAGATAACAAGAAGAAACATTTATTTGTTCAAGAGCAAAGCAAAAGACTTATTTTAGAAAAAGTTTAACTACTTTGTATCATGTGATTCTTTCCAAATAAACACTTGGCCTTACAAATGTGTAATATTCAGGAGGTTGTAGGGACTGATTTTAAAATTCATTTTCTCTTTTTTTAAATAATCAAATGCTAACATAATTTAAATGAAGGTGGCCCACAACCTCTGAAGCATAGCTTTGACATGTTTTTGAAAGCAGAAAAAAGTTAATCACTTTAACCTTCTAGATATGTAGCTTAGATATAAAATAGGTATGTAAATTAACCTGATATAACATAGCTTTCACACAATTTCTTCTTTTCCTTTCCCATTCTGTTCACTTCCCCCCAACCCTCAACCCACAGGTAGGATAGAAAAGAATCAGGTGGATCAATCAATTATGGCAAGTGACAGAGGTGCTTGCTCTAGAGGTCCCAGGAAGAACCCAAGGAACGGTTCTGGACAGACTGGAATGACAATAATGCAAGAGGTCACAAAGCAACCAAAATCAATTTAACCAATTTCTAATGGGTATCTCCTGTGTACTAGATACTGTGTAGGGAGATGTGTCATAATGAATGAGATATAATATCTGCTCTCAAATACATCATAATCTAGTAATGGGATGAAACAGCTATGCTCACTCTAAGTGCCATCAAAGGAAGTGAGCAGGCTATGAATGCAGAGAAGTTTACTTTCAGCCTGGAGGAAAGGAAAGAAAGAATTTAAATCAATGGGTCTTCCATGGATATGACACATGTACGTGGCTCTTGGACTTTCCTGAACCCCCATTACAATAACAGGTTTTAAAAATATAAGGGGTACTCTCACAAGGACGGGAATAGAATGGGAATAGAAATAACAAACACAAAATTTATAAGTCAGGAAAAAAGGATGTAATAAGGAATTTAGGAGACCTGAAAAAATTGATTTCTAAGCCAGAAATATAGAAAGTTAAGAACCAAATGTGGTTTGTACGACATAATCTCCAAAAGGCTCATAATTGGTGGTATCAGTTATCTCTGAGTGAAGGAGTACGAAGAAATGCTAAAGATAATTTGGATGAAAGTTCACTTAAGAAACAGGTAGATCCTTATATAACTTTCTGCTACTTCAGCAAAAGAATAGAGGTTTATTCTCTGGAAAGGGTAAAAAAAGGTCTCTGGGCCAGGGGTCACCAGGCCTAGTTAAAGGAGATGATAATATACTGAAAACAAGGGAATTAAGGAAGTATGCAGACGGGATGCTGAGAACCCCACACCTCTCAGTTCCCAGGTATTGCTGGCCTGGAGTAAGGGGATTGGAAAGGTTTCAGACTATCCCAAGAGGAAAGATCTTAAGATTCCTCATCAGATATTTTCCAACTGATTAATTACCCAAATGAGATCACTTAGCAGTGAAGCCCACAGTGCTCAGAACCCCACTACAGTGCTTCAGTCAGAACTTCAGCCGCTGTCACCCCAATAAATTCAATTTTTTAAAAAAGAACTTTGATCAGCATTTTTGTTTCTCACTCTGAAGTATGAGCAGACAAAAAAGGATTCCTAGACTTCTGAGGAAAGCCCTGTTAAAAAAAAACAAACACAAAAAACCTAAACAAGTACAAAAACAAAAGTAAAGACTGAGCCATGAAGGCTAATTGATTTCAACAGATATTATTAAAAATTTATCCTAGAATTCTTTTTTGTTATCTTTTTGTTATCTTAGGGTTCCTCAAATCCATCACTTGTCTTTAGTTTCACGGAAGGAAGTTAACTGCTAAGGCTGCCAGTAAATGGTATAAAAACAGCTTTCTGCCATTGGGCTGCTCACGCCCATAGAAGCTGGGAAAGTATGAGCACGGGTACACGTACATCCACACATTCCTTTAAAAAGCAAGGGGTAAACAGCTTCTAAAATGTTAATAAATATTTATTTTATACACCTTTAACATCTTCTTTTAAAAAATAGCAAAAAAGATAAATAAAATCTAAAAAAACCCCAACAAAACACTGGCTTGTGTAGCTCAGTGGATTGAGTGTGGGCCTGCCAACCAGGGGATCATGGTTCGATTCCCAGTCAGGGCACACACCTGGGTTGCAGGCCAGTTCCCTGCAGGGGACGCATGAGAGGCAACCATATATGGATGTTTCTCTCCCTTTCTCCTTCCCTTCCCCTCTAAAGATAAATAAATAAAGTCTTTAAAAAAATAGCAAAAAAGTACTTGGTTGTCCATTTATAAACTATGTTTCTTAATAAGCCCTAATTTTTAAATCTCATTTCCAATTAAATTGATATTTCTAATATGTGATTCTTACTGTGTGAAAGTCATGTTTTGTTTCAATACATGTGGGATTATAAGAAAAATTTATGAATTTATTATTCGACAATGAGTTAGCTTTGATAATTTCCTTCTCTATTTCTAAGATGGGAGAGAGAGAGACAAAGAAGGTAAAGGAAGGATGGAGGGAGGAAAAAGTGAAGAAATTTTCTTCTATATAAAAGAGCAAGATTAGATCCTTAATCTTACTGAGATATGACTTTCAACATTAGATTATCCTTAACGTCAGATATTGTTAGATACTCAGTGTTTCTCTACATTGCCATTAAAACTGTAGGATCATTACTGAAATAAGGGTTAATTATGTCACTGACCAAAAAACTTTCTTTTTTTTTTTTGTTATTTTCCCCTTTACATATAGCAGTGATTTTTCAACCGGTGTGCCGTAAGAATTTTTAAAACATGCAATATCTGACTATTTAGTCAGGGGCACAGACCTCTTTTCCCTTAGATTGTCAAATTTAAAAAATGACAACAGCCAACAGTACAATAGCTGTCTGGTGTGAATGCCCTGTCTCGAACCATAAATATATAGGTCATATATCAGAGCTGCATCTTATTGGTCATCTGACATAATAAGGTTGCATCTGATTGGTTAATTCTTTGTACCAGAAATCCTTACATACAAGCATAGGCATGTAATTTTTTTCTTTTTTATTGAATTTATTGGAGTGACATTGGTTAATTAAATTGTATAGGTTTCAGGTGTACAATTCTACTCTACGTTATCTGTATATTGTACTGCGTGTTCAGCACCCCAGGTCAAGTCTCCTACCGTTACCATTCAGCCCCACTTCACCCTCTTCTTCCTCCCCCAACCCCGTTTCCCTCTCATAGTCACCATACTGCCTTCTGTGAGGCACCTGATTTTTTAAAAAGGTCACTTGGTATAAAAAAGGTAAGTAATTACCTATTTTTTGTAAATCAATCAAAATTATACCTATTTTTTGTCGGTTTGGCAAAAATTATGATTTTTGGTGTGCTGCAGAATTTTACCAATTAGTTTATGCATGCCATGAGATGAAAAAGGCTGAAAAAGAGAAAACTTCTGTTGGAGCCCAACCCAGGGCACCATTCCCTCATCAACTGTTTGTTATTCTGTGGCGTCTGCAATTCTTCCTGAGAGCTTAGAAAACAGGAGAGAAACACTGTGAGCATTACTTAATCTTTTTGCTTACTTCCTACGGTTTAATTATATATACTTGTAACCAACATCTAGAAAGTAAAAAATGCTGCCACCAATATTATAGCTTATATAAAGAAAATTAAGAAAAAATATGTACTTTCTAATAAAATTGAAGAGGAAGAGAAATATGTGAGCGGAATGATAATGACTCATCTTTACTAATGTTTTAAAATATTAAGTCAACTCAAACCTGTTTCTATACAAAAGCAACCAAGAATGGATTAAAAAAGATTTCCATGGTCATGGACAACTGTGTGTTGATTTTGTGGGGACAGAGGTATAAGGGGACTAAATGGCAATGAAAAAAACACAATAAAGATTAAATTAATAAAAGATTCTCCAACTACAATGCAGAAGAAATTTGGTTAAATTATGCTATACTATAAACAACAGAATATATATTGAAAATGGTACCTTTATTCTGTCAGCGAACTGGTATTTTTCTATGATCATTTCCTGCAACTGGCAAAAGTCTCCATTCAATTCTACTCCATACAGTTGCAATGCTGAACTGTAAAGGTAACCCTAAAATATGAGAATATAGTAGGGTGCAAATAAATTAACTTTTTATCGTGGGTTTATTTCTACTTGAAATGTAAGAGGTCAAACTTTTAAAAACAGAATTCAATAAAGTAAAAATAAGAGATAAATAACATTTTGCAGTTTATATACAACTTAAAACTTTAAGAACTTAAAGACTTACTGGTTAGGAACTCGATTGTAGTTTATTAATTTCCATTATTTAAACATAATTATATTTTTAAAGATTGATTTCTTTTTCTGATTAAACTGTGCATTCAACAAAATGAGAAAAGTGATCATATACAGATTCTCTATGTAATACCCTATTTCTGTAATTTCTTTAGAAGTTGCATCAGGGGAAAGCAAAAAAGGAATAAACCTGTGGGGACTATAATTGGAAAATCATGCAAGGAGGAAGAGCTAGAGGTGTGTTCTGTTTGGCTTAGGGAAGTCAGCCTGCTGTCTGGCAATCTGTCAAAATAATGACCAGTTAGTTAACAAGGATAATCAAGAATTGACTATATGTAGTTATGTATCTATTTGGTGTCACAAAAAAAAACAATATCTGGAAGGAAGGGCCAAATCCCATTCTGAATATCATTTTTCATCAACTAATACATAAGTGTAAACCAAATTTGTATTTATAGCTCATCATGGATTTTAGAATATGTTTAACAGAGCATATGTAAGTATTAAAAAATTTTGTTGACTTGGTGACCTAACATGAAGAAAAATAACAATGTGTTTAAATTTACTAATGCTGCCACAAACCAGCATAGCCCATTACTTCAACTATATACCTTTTCAACAAATCAAACAAACAAACAACACAACAGCAGACAAAGTATGGTAAACAATCTCTCATGTTCTCCAAACAAAACCGTTCGACAACTGTGTATTTTTCCATTACGGCTCTCTTTCCTAATCACAGAATACAAGTTTTAACACTGAACAATAAATAAATCATTGAAGAGTTAACTGTTCCTGTGCAGCTTGGGCAACGGTGCTGGGAACTGCTCATGCCTGCTTCTGGCATGAGGCCTCTCCTGCTGTCGACCATATGTTGTAACAAGTTTGCTAATGACAACCAGAAACCACACTGCAGTTTTTTGATTAAACTATTTAAGAACATTAAAAATACTCATGATTTAAAAATTTTAAAAAGACACATTGAAGTGATATTTCAGAAACAAAAGTCTACAAACTCTGGATCACAGAAAATTGGAGCAAGATGTGTCCTTGGATGTCATTTAGTTTGCTCACTTAGACGGGGAGGAACTTGAGGCTCAGAGGTGTTAGGTGACTTTCTTATGGCCATGTGCAATTTCCTAGGTCAAGTAAATTTGTCAGTTTTGTAAGAGCTCTTATCAAAGCTAGTATACAATTTTAGCACAGTACAAAGAAAACAGAATCAGAAGGCAGTGGTGGCTGACAAAGCAGCAAAGTGTTATGAGGGTGGCCTGCTTCTGTTTTGTTGATATTCTTTCATCCGTGTCACAGAGACAAACTAATAAAGGAAAGCAGAGAGCTGGCCTTTGAAATTATAAATTCAATATACTGTTTTAACTTTATTATTGTGACTCCAATAAATAAAACCAAGCTGTCACCTTGGATGGTGGCAGGCAAAACTGTTGCTAGGAGGAGAAGAAAGTATTTTCCAAATGTTGAGTATGTCCAGAAGCTGGACTTTACCCCGTAAAGGACTGTGCCAAGCCTGGAGCCAACGTCAACCACGAGCTTTCCCGACAGATCAGGGAGTACGTGATGATAGATGAACTTCAATTCCATGAGAGAGAAGGAATGAGAGATAAATCCTGGAGAATTAGAACAGAATGAACATCACATTTCGCTTGGGTATTAATAATTCTACTCTGTATTTCTTAATCTTTCATCTGTATTTATAAAGGATAGTTCATGTTTTTATTTCCTTAATCCATGAAAGCCCTTCAGAGGTTATTTAGAAAAAGTTAACGTGATAATTTTTCACTCACTCTGAACTGCATCTGAGAATAAATACGAAGTCTCCAACATGTAAAAGACTTTCAGGGAACAGCTACTCAGCTGCCTGTCCCTATCACTGTGCCTCTCACTTCCTTTGTTCCTATGACCTATTGTTCGTTGGTACTGCTTCCTAACTCCCATACCATCTGGCTTTCTCATCTTACCCCAGAGCCAACCACAGAACTGCCTCATATTGCTGCACAGACCGTAGACTACCAAATGAATGACCATCTCTGGAGTTGCACAATGTGGCAGCCCTAACCAACCTAAAATGTGTTCTGGATTGCAGAAGAGGGGCAGTACTGAAGGAGGTTTAAATACTCCCATAAACTGTTATTTCCTTTAGTTTAATTGCTACAATTTCCAGCCTCTTATGCCATCTTCTCAATCCATTATTTCTGTGATAAAATATCTGGGAGAGCCTAAGTCTGTTTGTTTCTGATACGGAAGTAACTGAAAGACTCACTATGTTATGATCTACATAACAATGATCTGGAAGGAAAGAAATGTTGGTCATAACTAATAGACTGTGGCAAAGAAAATGGCAGTAGGCAGGCTAATCACTTGAGAAAAAATAAAGGGCATGGTCAGTCCTCAAAAGTTAATAGGCAGGTGGGCTTTGACCACTGTAGTCCTTATCTCTCCAGGATCTTCATCTTCGCTACCCTCTTTGCCACATTAGTGCTTCTGTCCTGAGCTGCAGAGTCATCGTTAGTAGCGAGACAAGCCACTGTCATTTAGGGAAGCAAAGTCCCACACAATGACAGCTTTTTTGTATTCACTACAGTTATCTGGGTTGGCATGGGTATTCAGTCACTATTTACAACCTGATTTTTATGGGAAAATGCATTCTAATCTTCAAATTTTTATTGTTGAACATTATAAAGTCTTATATAAATTTTAATAAATCAGATCTGATAGTGTTATAATTAACTTTTTAGTTTTCTATTGTTTTTGTCTAAGTTCTTTTCTATTCTGTGAATTTCAACTGCCTCAAATAGAAACCATAAATATTATCTAAAAATAAAAATCTTAAAACAGCAAATCAGGGAAGTTTAATCCCCAACTACAATATGGGTACAATATATTTGTATTAGCAACATGTTACCACTTTGGTAGTAGTAAACTTTTGAGAATGGTACTGAGCACAGGTTTCCTTATCTGGAGGGCAGGCCACTCTCAGCAATAAATCTAAGGCAGCAAGGAGATTGAAACAGCATGTCTAAAGTAACATCCTAAACAATCACATCCAGTTTGGACAAAGAATATGTTAACAGAATATAGTAGTAGCATGCAGTCGGTCTAGTCTGCCACTTGGGACATGCGTGCTACATCTGAGGAGGCAGAGATGTAGGACAATTTCTGTCACTAGTGCTGGTTTTCTATGATGGACCACACATACTCTACAAGGGCTAGTCATGACCTGAATAAACTCTTTCTCAAGATTATCCATCATTTTTATCTGAATTCATGTTCATTAAAATATTTTCATTGGGAGAACATTTCGGCCCCTTGACTATATTTAATTAAGTCTGTTTCCCTATACTCAGTGACTTGTAATTAGTTTCTTTACCTGAAAAGTCACCTCTGATTAAGCCGTTTCTGTGAAAAGCAGAGATACACTCCCGGGAGACACTAAGTAGCCCAGCTTCCTTAGACAATATTTCTATTTCGTCTCCCTAGCTGCAGTAATTGCTAATGGCTATGCTATAGGTTGGCCTTTTACTTTCAGAAAACATTGAATGACTTTGTTAATAATAATATACTCATGACATCTAAGGAGAAGTACACACAAAATCATCAGGTTTGAATACTTGAGTGCCTACCTAAAGGTGCTGTCTGGTGTGAGCCACACACCATACAGTAGTTTCTGCTCATTTTTCCTTCCTCACACAATGAATCAATAAAGTCTTCATCGTAAAGGAATGCATCAACGTGAACTGTGGGTTCTGGCTGCTGCTGTATCTGGTGGAGAGAAGAAAAACATCAAAAGAAACAAAGTACAAAGAAGTCTCTTTTTATTGCTAAATAAGGCAAAACATCAGTGGTTCATATGCTAAAATCCTGCCAGCAACAAGACACAGAAAGGCTGGCAACTGTGCTCTTCTTACATTTTATTTCTCAAACTTTTTTTTGCAGAGATGGAGGGGACCAAATTACTTAACTTGAAGGAATGGTACAAATGAAAAAAAAAAGTGGATAATTTGGTACAACTTTCAATAAAAGGTGAAGGTAACTCCAACATGAATGTACTGCTTTGCCACCCAGTGACTGCGGGATCCCAGCCTGAGGCTGAGCTCTCGTCACTGTCTCCCGGGCTGTGCCCGGTCTGACACGGCAGGTTAGGAGCCCCATCTCGTGGGGTTAGCTGCTTCTTTAATGGATTTCACGCATTCATTCAGGTAATGAGTCTCAAAGAAATACAAATGGGGATCATTTTGTCAGTGGTCAACTTTTTATTTGACCTGTGATGATGCAAAATGTGGCTATGACAAATATATAAAATTTTAGTTGAAAGTATTTTTGAGACCATCCTATCCATCTGAAGCAATTTCTAGTAAAGAAATTGATACCCAGAGAGATTTCTCCCGAGAAATGACAGTAGCTAATAAGAAGGGTATTCCGAGTCCTACATGTTAATGACTTACCCACCAAAATACTTAGTAATTTTTGCCTAGAGGCAAAGTTTTCAATTAATAAAAATCTTAGTAAAACTTCATGCTCACAAATAATGGCTCTTTCTTAATACTGTGATACATTTTATATTGTGTAATAGCAAGTGGCTACAAAGGAAAAAAATGTCTGATTTCTGTTACCTTAACTGTCATCCTATCTGCTTGGAAAACTACAAAATTCTATCTACATCTACACAAAATCTATACCACAAGTATGCAAAATGTATGAACATATGCAAGGATCAGAAGGAAACAAAGGAAGATAAAAACACTGTCAGGATAGGGAACTGTGGGTCAATCATTAACATGATTGAGAATCCCCAAGCAGCACTAAGAGTACGTTAATAACGCAATTACTTTTTGCAGGGCTAGATGTTCTGAGGGAAGCATGCTTTCTAGAGGTAAGCAATTCCGAAGATCTTCTGCTATGTTTTTCAACATAGTGTCATTATTATCCTGAGTGAACTCGTCAAAATCTCCTAGAACAAAAAAGGAAAGAAATAGCTTTCATGGTTGTAGTCATACCTAGACTAAGTGATTACAATGGACATATTTTCTGTCACACGGCATCAATTCATAACGATAAATACACCTTCTAGCCAATGAAATATTCAAATGGTAATAAATGTTCCATGAAAACTGTTGAGTTTTTCCTTTTTCTAAACTGCTTGAAAATATAAAACTTGATTATTTTAGCATGTTACAGAAAGGCATTCACAAAATGCAGTTTACTTTTACTCAAGAATAGCACTGCCATTAGTTTGTAGGGTCTTGAACTCACTAGTAAGTAATCAAATACTCCTTTTCTGACCGTATCATAGAAGTTTAGGAGGTATCACACAGGGATTACTAAGAAGATAACTTTAATCAGAGAGAATTCCTGCCTGCAGTAAAATGTACTGAAGACTTCAGATAATAAGCACTAACAGCTGGCGCCAGTGGACAGAAACTTTCCATCTAGCTGCTCTACTGCATTTGAGCAGCAGCTAAAATGACCATTAGAGTAGCATATTTCTGATGGCTGTGGCCTACTTTTAAACGATCTGGCAAAAGGGGGAGCGTGGGAGTGTATAAGCAATAAAGATAAGACAGTAAAGATCAACAATTGGTGACGATAGATGAGGGTATAAAAGTGCATTTCATTGTTGTTTCAATTCTTCGTTTAACTTTTTAATTGTCTCTAAAAATATAATTTTTCCAAGCAGCTCATATATAATTTTAAATGGAATGTAACTTATCTGGAAGCAAAATACTCAAAGTTAGCTACTGTCTGGAATGCCAAATATAGACTGGAAAGGACTACTAATGAAAATATCTTATTTTTCTCTTAAAAGACTTTCTTATATTGAATCCTTGCTGGAATAAAGGGACCCCAAAGAGTCTGTATCTTTCTTACTGTTTTAAAATAGCTGTAGAAGGAAAGGAAAACATGAAGACCCTGAAGGAAATGTCATGTGTCTCCACATTGCCTGTCTCCCGAATCTATGGTTATTTTTAAGTAAGCTCATGATTTCTTTCTTAAACATAAAATAATTCATGTGTTGGTTCAGAATGCTATTCTTATGTCACAAAGAACAATTAAAATTTAAATAATATTTTACAGTTTACAAAGTTCTTTCATGTAGAAACTAGGTTATTTCACTTTTGTAACATCCATGTAAGGAAAACAAAGCAAGGTTATATTCCCTGATTTACAGCTGAGGTAACGAAGTCTTCTAAAATTAAAAGAATTGTGAAAAGGTACAAGGCAGGCCAACAGCAGCACAAGGAAATAAATCTAGGTTTTCTGCCTCTAAATAAAGGTACTCTTTCACTACACCACTCTGTGTCCCTACATATAAAGGTTCTTTCTCTGAATAATTTCCCTTAGAGCAACAGTGGTTAATATGAAGATATATTACTTGGCTCTCTGAACTGATGTGGGAAGGAAGGTCTTTTAGCTCTTTTTTCTTTCCTTGCCTATCTAGTATAATCTAAGCTGGTACTTCAAAGTATTTTTAGAAGGAGGCCGAATATAAATTCTAGAAAAACAAAAATATTATTAGGTTCATTCCAAATTGTTTTAAGTGGAACTTAAATAGCATCTGTGATGCATTAAAAAAAAAACCTGGCCCTTTCATTGTATTCTTAAAATCTAATTAAATTTTTGCAAGGTGCTAATTAATAACTAACATCTGCTTAGCATCCCTTCAATGACAAAACCCTGGAACCCTCTATGACTCGCATTTAATTCTAATAATATCACTTATACCAGTGATCTTTAGCAAGTCCTCTCAATTTGTAAATAGCGTAACTAAAAAAGCCAATAAAAATCTCATTATGTCAAACTAAGCTATTTCAAAGCCAGACTCCTTTGGACTTAATTCTGTAATATAAACAATCATGTTAATAAAACAGTTTTCTGTAGGTCTGCCTTATAAAATAAGAGTCTCAGATACTGGAAAGGGAACTTACACTATGACCTGTTGCTGAATGGCAGCATGCACCCATGCAGCTCTGATACGACAGCTGCTCAGTGTTTGCTTGAACACATTCAGGGACAGCATATCTTTCTCATGCCAAGCCAGAATCTGCCTCTCCATACCATTAACTAATTTTTCTAATGTCAATCTGAGAGGAAACATCATCTTTAATGTTACACATTTATTAAATGAGCACTTACAGCATGCCAGATTTTGAGCAGTGCCTTTCAAACACTGTAAAACACTAAGAATCCTATATGTGATACTATTATCATTTCTATTTTATTAAAAAAGAATCTGAGGTCAGAGGGTAAGGTGCTTGCCTCAGGTCATATTGGCAAGAAAAATTGTACAGTTGGGATTGAATGCAGGTCTAACTCTAAACTCGTTAATTACTAAACCATACAGCCTCTCTAAAATGGCAAACAAGGCAGTTGGCTGGTAACAGGTCTATCACTTAGTCTTCCCTTCTCCCTAGCTCTGCCATGGTTCTTAATATAATGTGACAGCCATATCCTTTGTCATCTGGTTGCTGTCTTCAGGACTTGTTCAACAGCCTATTTATTAATTATGAAAATTTCATTTATTTATTTTTGAGAGAGGGGAAGGGAGGGAAAAAGGGAGAGAAACATCAATGTGAGAGAGAAACATTGATCGGTTGCCTCTTGCACTCCCCTAACAGGGGTCCTGCCCACAAACCAGGCACATGCCCTGACTAGAATGCAACTGGCAACCTTTCCATTTGCTACACAACACCCGACCCACTGACCCACACCAGCCAAGGCTCAACAGCCCCTTTAAACATGACCCTGGAACTGAACACAACTGGCAATCTAGTTCTCTAATCCATCGCTACCTTAGTTTATTATCCTCTATCACTTTGTAACATCTAGGACCCTCATGGCTGCTGCAGCTAGGTTATTCACTGATTTGGAAGTGGTGGTGGCAGCAGCAGTGAGAGCCACACGTCTTAAATGATAACACACAAAGCTCAAGGGAGCTGGAAAAATGGAAGATGAGAATGGGTGCAAATTCTGAACCATCACAATGGACTTCTAGCCATCTCCATAGTAAAATATGTTCATTTGGGACTCAATCCCCCAATTAATATGAGCATCACCAGTCAAGATGATACCATAAAATTGGGTATTAAATTACTCAGTCATTTAAAGAGGCAGTTAAATGAAGACTGCATTTGTTTTACCTTAATACTAAAGATATCAAGTGAAAATGAGAATTAGCACTTCTTACCCTGACAACAAACACTGATTCAACCGCACTCAAGGGTAAACAGATTTCTTCAGTTACGGCAGGGATTCTTCAACATGGTCCCAGTTAAGTATGGGCTTTATATGGCCCATAAAGGGTCTAAAGTTGCATGTTTGGTTGTATACATAAATATGTGTACTTTTCTAGAAAGTTCTTAAGAGGTCTTTGACAATAATAGTCAATATTTATTGAGCACTACATGTGAGGCACTATAAAAATTTTCAGCTCAGTATGGTTAAAATTAGTTTTATATATCTGTGGCAGTTGACAAATAACTTCTGAAGAGAATAACAAGACATTTTTACCCTGGTACCAACTATAAAACATCAAAAACATACAATATATTACTGAAGTGTGTGAAACTAGAATTCACTTAACATATCAAAAATAATTACTGTTATTAAAAGTAAGTTCCCTTAAAACATTATTTTGAAAGGCTGTTTAAATATTCCACCATGTGTATATTTAACCATTTACTCCCACTACTACATATTTTTCTACAACTGTGAAAAGTTGGGAACACAGCAAATAGCAATTTGGCATACATTATCTCTGTGTTTCTGATTATTGTTTTTTACTATAAACTCTTAGAAGTATTATACTTAAACATTTTAAAGGTTTTTGCTACATATGAGAGGGAACCCCAAAACATCAGAATTATCTTCTGGAGGATGGGCCCCTTGCAGTACAGGCTTTCCCAGCTAGATGAGTATTCTAGGAACCTATCTGTATCATTGTACCAGCTGGCATTGTTGTGAGAGGCTGCGTCAGTTTTCAGTGAATTATTTTTGAAGACTCTTTCAACATGCTTGCCCATTTCACTATGGGTGATTTACAAGTACCCTTGCCCACACCGCACTGAATGTTCAGCAGTTTTTGACCAAAAAACAACATGATCCCCATGCCCCACCATGCCTACTCACCTGCTCTTACCCCAAGCTACTTTTTTGTGTCCCTGGTTGAAAAAAGTCCTCAAAGGGAAATATTTTGCCAACATGGAAGAGGTGAAACAAAAAATGGCAGAAGCACTAAAAGGCATCAAAATCAATGAATTCAAAAACTGTTTTGAGTAGTGGAAAAAAACATCTCAATAGGTGTATTGCATCAACTGGAGAGTACTTTTACAGTGACTAGAGTTTAAACATGTAAGAATATACATTTTTTATAAATATATTGCTTTTTGGAGGGTCTCCTCCCCTCGTATTGTTAAATTTCTTTCCTGTAAGATCATACAAATTTACTTTAACAGAAAAGAAAGACTGTATGTTTCATTAAACCTTTATAGCATTGAATATTCCATAAAAACAAACTTTGTTGTTTTAATTTGCATTTCTTTAATTACTAGTGAGGCTGAACATCTTTTAACATGTATAATAGTTATCTCAGAATATGTGGTAACAGTATGTTGGCTGGCAAAAGATTAAAGAAAGATGTTAATCAGTTGCCTAAGGACAGTAAAGTTTTTCTCAAATTATACATGTAGGTGGGGAGTGGAGAAAGAAGAGCTTCTCTGAAGGGTAATATTAATTCTTTAAAAACGTTCTCCTTACATTTAATTAACTATTTGGAGAAAGAGAAGTAACAAGGCTGACTCTAGAAGTCAAACCCCACTTTTGATATCTAGTCAGATATTAAGTCCCCCCCATTTCTTTTGAATCCTGCTTCTTTTTTCCCACTTCAACTACCTCGTAAGTCATCACCTCACACTTAAAATACCATTACAAACTCATAACTAGCTCCTTAACGTC